CCTTATTTAACCATTTCAGATCAGGAAGACATGGTTCCCGAGCCCGTTCCGCAGGAGGACGACGAAGGGGATGCCTAGAGACTCTGTAGTCATACTCATAGTTTTATTTTCGAGTTTCTCTCTTAGTTAGTTTAATCTTTTGTATTTTAAGTACGTTTTTGGTTTTTCGTGTAAGGGATGTTAACTGAAATTTTGATCTCGCTTCCGCATTTGATATATTTAAATACTCATTTCATTTTAATATTTCCGGGGCCGTCACAACTGACCAATTTTCTGGCTCCACTAGTGACCTATAATTATTGTTAGAGATTTTCTAATTTTTACAAAACACATAATTATTAATTATTAAGCCTCCATTTACCATAACAGGGAATAAGGTGAGATCTTTTTACCCGAATCGATATTTTAAAATATCGCGTTGTCTACTACACTTCCTAACAGGTCCCGAATTTCTTAAATTTTTCAACAAAAATTCAAAATACTTGTCACGCAACTAAAAATATCCTAAAAACTCCATATCGGTATCGAAAACCCTTTCCAGCCAATTTTAGAGTTTCGTCACAACGCTGTCACCGTGCTCTGGCGCAGGCTCCACCAATTTTCCTTCGCGGTTGGGGTTTATTCTTCAGTTAACATTTATAGAAAGAGATAGTGGACATAATGGTTAGAAAATTGTATGAAACGGGAAACAGGAAGGGGCTCAGCCGATGAGTTTTAAGATTTTGGCTGCAGCAGCTCCTCCGAATTTTGCCGCAGTTTTCGGCTCACCTGCCACTCATTTTGTTCTGATATGGCCATAGGGAGACTCGGAATCAAATTTCAAGCGAGTATGGGAGAATTTTACCTTTTTTGACTGTTGGCAGTGGCTTTGGTGCAGCGGCGGTTAGGGATTGGTTTCCTTCTACGACGGTTGGTCCTTCTTCTTTGGCGAAGGCAGAGTGGCTAGGGTTAGGGTTTCCCTGCGATGCTATATTTTTATATTTATCCCGCGTCGATGTAGACCGTCCATTTATGTCGATGTGGAATAAGGAGACTTGTCCGATCATTGCCTGTTTAGGCTGATTGCGTGGACGAATATGGACCATTCATCGCGATTGATATCGTCCATCTGATTGCACTTAAGGAGAGAACGAATCTGAGTCGTTCAAGCGCGCGTGATAGAACCTGAGCCGTCGGATCGCTGGGCACGCAGATCCCCCGCGTGGTCTCCCGTGTGACGCCGACATCAGCGTGTTTTGCCACACAACATGCTCTGATTCGTTGGAGCTACTGACTAAGCCGTCCCACATGGTCGAATTTTTTATTTTTATATTTTGATTTACTATTTTCAATTTTTCCTTCAAAAATATCTTACGAATTCAAATTTTCATTCTTTTTCCCCAAAACTGCTTTCAATTACATACGTAATCTATTTTTTTCTCAAATAACTTAATAAAATAAAATAATATTATTAATTATTTTTACGATACAAAAAATTGATTTCGAACTAAATTTCGGATCCGGACATTACATAAAACTTGAAAAATTCTCATAAAAAAATTGTATAATATTTCATGATTTTTTCTTCATAAAAAAGACCACGAATGCACGAAGTGAGAATCGTTTTGTGTAATAAACATAATAATTCAAGTACTACAACAAAAATATAAAATAATTAAAAACGAGATCCGAACACTTCCTCTTTTTTTTTTTTTTCCAGCTATTAGCACATCATCATTGCAAGATGATACAACTCGTATGCCTGATAAATATTCTTTTAATCCACTTTTTATGTTACTGATCAAATTTTTTTTTTTTTAATTTTACACACAGAAGAAGTAGTATGAAGTAATATGAAGTTCAAACTCGTACACAGTACCAAAAATTTTAACCACTATGAATTATAGGTGAAGATGTCCAGCAGCCATGCATAAGAACTTGTAGTTTTGTCTAAGTAACTTTTATGAATCAGACAAGTGGTAACTCATAGGCAGTCACACAGTAATATTCTCTATGCAGAAAACATACAAAAAAGCACTTTTTACCAGTAAAAAATAACAACATTCATTGCTGAAAAGGCGAAGTCCAGAAAACCCAAAACTCAGTAAGTCCAAGATATATAAGTATGGAGCTCAGGAGCAACTGAAATTCAGAGAGAAAACAAGCTTTACATGAAATCCCATCAACCCACTTCATTAAACAACCATGATAATTATGAAATAACATAAGCTGGAAGGATAAGATGATACAATGGAGAAGTATCTACAACAACGCATGTGAAAATTTCGTTCTGAGGTGAAGAATCCTCTTGAGCTTGACAAAAAGGACTTTCCCAACTCATCACTAGAAAACCTATACAAGAGCTGGCTTTTGATTCTAGATCCTGATTCAACTCCTCTTTTGATTCTGTTAAGACTATGTTTGGAACAAATATAAAAAAATTTGTAAATTTATTTATAAATTTACACTTAGTTTAACTAGAAGATTGTACATTTTTCTTTCTAAATAAATAAAAACTGACCTCGTATAGAATTTCTTGTGATCTGAGAATAATACGTCCCAGATTCCATCATGTACTTTGGAATTTGGAATGCTTTACTCCAAGTACACATAAAATTCCATGTGGTCAATTTTTATGGTCCTTAAAATTTTTCCTAATTAAACTAATTATGAATTTGTAAATAAATTCTACAAAATTTTTAGCGTTTTGTTCCAAACTTAACCTTAAAAAGAAACACTACACCCTGCTTCTTCACCTGGACGTGTCAGAATTTCAGTGCTTCGCTTTAGTAGGGTGGTGGTGGATAAATTCCCGGGAAAGGACCTGATTGAGATGCAAAATAGGGTTTTAGTATTCTTCCTATATAACTAGTATACACTAGCACTAGCAGTAATGAGCAAATATTTAGCAAAAAAATTTACCTGGCGGGTAATAGGGCGAGTGTTGTGGAGGTGGAGGATAAGCTGATGGTGGTGGTGGAGGATAGGCAGATGGTGGTGGAGGATAGGCAGACGGTGGCGGAGGATAGGCAGATGGTGGTGGAGGATAGGCAGATGGTGGTGGAGGGTAAGCAGAAGTTTGAGGAGGATAAGCAGAAGTTTGAGGAGGATAAGCAGATGGATATGTTGATGGTGGGTATCCTGAAGGTGGGTAAGAAGGATAATGGGGTGGGGCTGGGTAGGATGTAGGTGTAGGTGCATAAGGAGCAGAAGCTGCTGGTGGGGGCACAGAGTATAAAGGTGGTTCAGCAGGGTGTGAAATATAAGATGGGGCTGACGGAGCTGAAGATTTTCCCGGTTTCTGCATTGATGTAAAATAGATTTGCTGTTAATTAAAACCCTTTAAATATACACACACACACACACACACACACGTATAAGATCCCTCAATATATAGTACTACTGCAAGATACTTACGTTGGCATTTGGGTAATGCAGTATGAGCTTTACTTCTCCTGCGTGTCTGCAAGAGTTTGTAATAATTCCATTTATTAGTATCATAAGCAACATTAAATAAAAAGTCACAGCCAGACACACATATATATCCACCCTTAATTGCTTGGCTTTAAAGAAAACATGTTTGTGCGATTCCTGGAAATTAAGAGCACTAACCTACAGAACATGAAAATTGGCAAAACATTCTTTTGATGACGACCAACAATAAACACAAAATGGGGAAGAGGTCTGTTGGAATTTTCTAGGCTGCTTTCAAGCAACAGTGCTAGGTATCTGAACTAGAGTTTAGTCTACCACTCAAAACTTCCAATTCAGTAGCTTGAAACTATCCAGACATCCCAAGAAGATGCATGAAATAAGAAATATTGCAGATGTTCATGTAATCAACTAAGATAAATGGTTGGCTATTAGTTTCCTTTAACATCCTGCTTCAATTTAAACACTACAAAGAAGACATTATTTATTTAGAAGACAATGTTAAGCAAAAAATCTAACTGAAAGAGTTTAATTAATTAAACTTTGAACCAAATCAGGGAATAATCTAACAAAAAACCAGTTGAAAGGAGGTAATGCATTAGTAGTGCTGAGTTTATACTTATCTCTGTCTTCTCCACCATATCAACAGCCAAAATGATAAATTATGCAAGTTAAATCAAAAGCCTAGACAATGACAATGTCCTTCATGCAAAAAAAAAATCATAATAATTCAAGACATGTTTAACACAAAAAATGACCACAACAAAAGCTAAAGGTATCTGTCTAAATCTGAGGAAAATGGAGCAGATAAGCCAATTTCCTCCTTTAGAAACTTGTATATGCAAGTATGAAGTTAAAGATGAAAATCTTGCTTTACGGAAGATCATTATTTCCTCCTAAAGACCCTTGAGTTCTAGAAGAAAACATATATATACTCCTCCAAGCAAGAGCTTTTAAATCTCAATACATTTCACTCGGAGACTGAAAAGACCAAATGAATCCCCCTGAAAATTATTCGAGAAGCTGAATTCGAATTACATCCAATTCGATTTGCAAACTATCTAGTGAAGTGAAACCCTAAATTGCAAGTTCTACATTCACAAAATCAAGCAATGGCGAATACGATGTTCACAGAGTAAACATAATATGAACTGCAATTATCACAAACAACAGCAAGAAAACTTAACCAGACGAGCCAGAGAACCTGAATTTGTAAATTCCTGAAGTTATCTTAATAAAGTAGACAAAGGAAATTGTAGTTCAACTTCACCTGCCAGTTTTAGTCTGCAGCGGCCAAGCAGTGTCGTCATAACCCTGCGAAAGAACTTTCTGCAGCTGAACCCTATTCGCCATTATAAATCAACCAAATTAGAAACAAAAAGGTTCCAAAAGGTATCAAAGAAAATCAAATTTTAATCACACAAACTGAAGACTACTCACTTCCCGCTACCAATAAAATCATCGTAAGTCATGGTATTGCTGTTCCAAACCACGAGATGCAACTCTCTGAGCCCTTCAATCAACGTGAACATGAATTTCTCTTGAAACACAGGATTTTTCCCCCCATCTAACAAAAAAGAAAAAGAAAACGCGGATTCTAAAAAGCAGATCTCAAAGCGAACTCAGAAAAAGGAAAAAGAAGAACGGTTCTGCTAACTTTCAGATCCAAAAATTCAAAAAGAAGAAGTTGAAACCTGTGCAGGTCCTTGTACGAACACGATTACTACCATACTCAAGACAAACGTAAGGATCTTGCCTTGAAATCCATTCAGTATCCTTCAATTTATTACACCCAACAACTAAAAAAGAAACAGAAAAAATCAAAATTAATAGCCAGAAAATGAATTGCTAATGCTTGCAAAAGCAGAAACAGTCCGCAAGCGCATCTTACCAGTAACCTCAAGAATTTGGCCTTGAATCCCAGAAATCGACATGGAAGAATCAGGAAGAAAAGTTGCGTCTGGAAAGTGTTGATGGATTGACCTCCTTTATAATTAACACCCTTTATATATAATACATACATATATATATATATATGTGTGCGTGGAGAAAAACTCAACTCGAGAGAAGGAACATGGAAAGGTCTACCCGCAGAGATTCTCTTGCGAGTTAAGATATTCAGTACGCGCTCTTTAATTTTAATTTTTCTTTTTACTGGTTTATTATTTATACATTTAAAAATATTTTTATAAATTTTTAAATAATAAATTATTATTATTATTATATTTTTATTTAATTTAACATATTTTTTTTATCTCTTTATATTCAAAATATATTCATAATCACTTAACAAAAATAATTAATCATAATAATAAAAAATTCATTATTTAAGTTATTATATATTAAATTTTCATATTGATTTTTTTATGAATTTTTATTTAATAATAAAGATATATGATAAACTATTTAATAACTTTAAAAATATTATATTTTCAATCTTAAAATATGGTTTTTTTTTTTCAGCGTAGGACGATAATTATCACGTGTTACAAATCAAATTGAATTACTTTAATTACGTATTTACACGTAATTAATTATGTATTATGATTAATTTTGACGGGCGGGCGGATGTAGTTTTGACTCGTGTTAGAATGTTGACAAGTTCGTGTTAGATTGTTACCGTGTTATAATATTAATTAAATTATATATTTTATTAATGTAATTTAACTTTGGGTAAATTATACAAATTTATAATTTTATCACACTAATTAAGAAATGTGTAACTTATAAAACACTTTAAGAATATTTTGAAAATGTCTCGGTTAGTATTTTTAGCTAATTAGAATAATTCTAGATCAAATATTGTATTGATTAGTCTCTTTTAATTTAATTAAAATATAAATTATTTATAATTCAATTAACAAATTTATATTAAAAAATGTAATAATATAATGTTAGAGAAAAAAAAAACTAATGAATACAATATACAAATTAAAAGACTAATTTTTTTATATAAATTTTGAAGATGTCTGTATTTTTTACATTTTTATTTAATTATAAAGTATTTTCATATTAACACTGATATATTAATACTATTTTTATCATATATCTATAATTATTTATTCCAAAAGTAGAAAAAAAAAATATACAATAAGTAAATATTTACGTCAATTATCTGCTAAAATTTATATATTTGATTCTTTCACTTATTTACTAAAAATTTGTATAATCTACCGATCTGTTTTTAAAAAATTTGTCAAATATTTAAATAAATAAATTAAAATTTTAAATGTTAATTATAACAAAATACAACTAAAAAAGACATAAAATAACCTTATAAAAATACAACACCAAACAATATGTTTAAATTAATTATAAATAAATAATTTACTATAACTATATAATTAGAATTTTAATTATTTTTATTTATATATTATAACCTAATCCTATTTGAAAATAAATAAATATCCAAATACTTTTATTTCCGTTGAAAATAATTAGACTTATTGATATTGAATTGAATCCTTCAAGGCTGCGAACGTGACAAATTTGTGAAGTTGCTTGTGAAATTTACGCGCCTTCTCGACCCGGTCGTTACTTATGTCTATTACGATAATTATCCATGAATTCAAGAGAGAAAAAAAATTAAGCCTATTTTAAAAAAGTCAAAGTCAACCCCTTTAGAAATTGTAAATGCCAAAAATAAAAGTTGACGAAAACTGTAGTTTGACGGTGACAATATTATTCTCACGATGTGTTATACATAATGAAAAAATAACATGTATTATATATGTTACGAACAAATATATATATATATATATATATATGAACACATGAACTAAAAAAAATAAAACAAAGAAAAATATTTTCACATAACATTCAGAAACGTGTTATTCTGAAGAACTTATTTGAATAAAAAAACTTAAATTGGAAGTTTCATTTTCTTTCAGAAAATAAAAGCATAATTCTTCTCCCGTTATTTTCCTTGTATCCAAACACGGCCATGATGAAAACAAATTTCTTACCTGAGAGAAAATTAATTCAGTAATCACTATAATTATGGTTTAGCTTCTTGATTTACATAATCAATAAGCCGGAACCAGACTTTAAAACTTACAAATAAAACGAATGGATTGAGCATTCACCATTTGGTACACGTATAACTTGCAAACAATTTATGTACACGTTTGTTCAACATCAAGAGCCACCAATGTCCTTTTTGCTACTTCACTCGCTCTCGTAGTCTTCGTCGTCTCCAAACGTAAAAACTGACGCATCGGCAGCCATTACCTTAAACTCACTATCTGCATTGGAAGACGCAAAACCCGAGATACCACCAGGAACCTTCTTTGACTCACTAGAGGCATGTGTTTGTTGGGAGGCCACATTTCCAAGAGAAACTTGTTCGGTTCCTCGTGTTAAACCTGCAACTTGATCTGAAGTACTATTAGAAGTGGTGGGTGAGGTCACGGTTCCTCCAACTGCAGAAGCTGCCTGGGCTTTCCTGCCTCTTGAAGAACCCTCCTCCGCCTCACTATCTGAGAAAACATCGTCTTTGTCATTATTTCCATCTTTATTCTGAGTAGAAGCAGCTGCAACTCCATCAACTGTGTTAAGACCAGCACCAGAGCTTTCATCTGCTTTCTTGGTAGTGATTTCTGACTTAGT